CAGATTGTTTGTGTAGATGGTTTTGTACAGTTACAGCTCCGTACGATTTGTTCAATAAATAATTCTTTATTGCCAACAACTAACAAAAATAATAGAATAACAATAGATCTTTCAGTTTTATGTACGGTGCTGACCGACAAAGACCGAAGTGTTATTTTCACATTCTATTGAAATGAAAAAAATAATTAATCATAATAAAAATTAAATAAAAAAGGACTAACAACAGTAATATAATAAGTGTAGATAATTTAATTTTATGTACGGAGTTGTAACTCTGCAAATCCATTTGCACAAACAATCTGTTCAGTAGTCAAAGGAACTTCGTTTACATAGGGTCACTTAAGTGATTTTCTATCGCTTAAGCGATCAAGTCTGACGTAGAATAAATCTGCCAGATGAACGATCGCTTAAGCGATTCTTTGCTTTTACAAAGTGTCGCTTAAGAGATTTTAGATCGCTTAGGCGATGAAGTCCGAGGCAGAATCAATATCTACCCAGGTGCATGATCGCTTAAGTGATCCGTGATATCGCTTAAGCGATTCTTCTCTTTTTCACTTGGTTGATTAAGCGATCATGTGATGGGCAGAATCAATATCTGCCCAAGTGCACGATCGCCTAAAGGATCCATGATATCGCTTAAGCGATCTTTTATGAAAGCCCTTTGTCGCTTAAGCGTTATACTTAGTCGCTTAAGCGATCATGGGCAATACATACTTTTCCATCTTTTCTCCTGAATTTTGACAAACTAAAATTACCAACACATATTAATTCCATACTTTCTCCTAAATTCGACAACCTAATTCCAAACTAAAATCACCAACAAATATTTAGGCCATGTAACAAGAATACTAAATATAAAGAATGATTTATTCAAGGTAACAATAAAATTTAAAACATCAATAATTGAAAATAATAACTCATCAACAGTTGGCCTTGGCAACTCCCTGAATTTCATCCTTCTTCGAACCTAATTTTCTAGATCTGCATGTGATTACTTCTGGCAATTGCTTCTCTTGTGGCCAGGTTGCTTGCAAATTGAGCACTTATTCATCTTCCGGGGAACCTCAAAGGCTGATGGAATACACTTAACTCTTTTTCTCCCCTTTGCTGCCTTCTTGAATGGTGGATGGATGATAATGTCAGCCAACTCTGGTGGCACTACCCACTGCTCTTCTGGAGGCACTGGATATATCGTTTCTTAATAAGCTAGCATGTAGTGATTTGCCATATTGAGAGGGAAGCAAAGTTCCATGTAAATTCTTGAGCCAAAATCCGGCTTCCGTTGGTGTTTCAGTGCTGCTAGTGCATGAGGACAAGGTAAACGTTGAATGTCAAGCACTTTACAGCTGCAAGTTTTACTAACAAGGTTAACTAGGGCATCCGAACCATAACCACGCATAATGAACTCTTGAGCATTAAGAGGATAGGCAAACAGTGCATTTTACAGTTCCATACGTTCTTGTAATAATTTTTCAGCTGACAGAACGAGGGTTGTAGTAAAATTATCTGACTCCGTACAACGCTCATGGAACCATCGTGACAATGTCCTTTGGATTACATCAAAAAGTGCAACTATTGGAAACTCTCTTTCTATTAACAACTTCGAATTTATGGACTCGACTATGTTCGTGGTCATGACATCAAACCTTCTTCCAGGAAAGTAAGCTCTACTCCATCGCTTGAAACCAATATCATGCTCAAGATAGTTAGCAACTCTATTATCCTTGATTCGAATTTGTTGGAAGTGCTCCTCGAACTCATCAACCCGATAAGCTTTTACTGCCATGTAGTATGTCTGAAGAAGACCAGCACACTTAAACTTTTGTTTTATGTTCTCACCAAGGTGCCTCATACAAATTTGTGATGTGCTTGAGGGTAAATAATGGCAATCCCTTTCTTTATAGAGTTGTGCCTATCGGATATTATGCACAACTCGTCACTATCAGGCACTATCGTATGTAATTACTGAAAAAACCAAGTCCACGACTTATCATTCTCAGAGTCAACCACACACCATGTAACAGGATATGTGTGATTCTCGCTGTCCTGTGCAGTGGCCACCAACAATGTACCTCCATACTTTCCCGTCAGAAAGCAACCATCAACAGCCAACACATTTCTCATGTTTACAAAACCTCTTATAGCAGAACCGTAAGCAATAAACAAATATTTAAACATCATATTCCTGTCCCACTTCAAACCCGTCTTGCTACCTTGGTTTGTCAACTCAAGCATATAATGGTACGCTTCTAATACTGCGTACCCATGCTCCGGTGTGCCCCTCACAAATTCTTGTGCATGTTGTCTCCCTTTCTAGCATTTCCAGTAGCTAACAGCACATCCCAACTCTGTGTGCACAAGTCTCCGAATGTCTTTAGGAGATAGACCTTTCCCTTCAATGAACTGACTTTTGACAAATTGTCCAATAACATCAGCGGAGGCTTGTCGATGCTCACCTGAAATATGTCCCAAACCACATGTGTGCTCACGGGTATATGTGTTAAGAATAAATTTTTTGGACTCCACGAACCTTCTACAATAAACCCGCCACTTGCACTTTCGGTCATGACATGCAACCGTCACAACCAATGAATTTAACTTTTTGGTGATCAACTCAAAATTACCTCTCATGGTAACAAGTTTTAGCTTCCTCACCAGTTCCTCTTTGCTGTCAAATAAATACCCTATGCGTAACTCTGATCCATCTGTAAAAACATGAGCTGATTCACTGCTACCTGCAATTGCCCCCTCTGAACCTACATAAACGACCATAGTGTTCTCTTCCTCGCAAACTATACCTTCTGCATAATCTGTATTTAAAGGAATCTCTATATCTGCGGGAACATGTACGAGGTCCTCCTCCTCAACATTTTCATTCTGCCCCCATGACCAACCTCTTCTACAGTGTCCTCCTCACCACCCAATTCACCGTCTACTTTTGATTTTTCAACTAACAAATCAATGCCCTCGTAGTTCAAATTAAAACGAGCAAATCTCTGCCAACTTCCTCGTTATCCCCTTTCTTTGAACAAACTTCCAACGGTTTTTCTACAAAAGAAACCTTTGAAATCGGCCTCGAACCATTATCGGCCACATCAATCATATATAACTTCACACTTTCATCCGACTTTAATATAGCAGGAGGTACCTTATAATATTCAGGAACTCTGCTTAAAACATACTTCACAACTATATCACTACGTGAGCAACTCAAATCACCTCTTCTAATTATTTCATCAATCAACTCATCAAAACCAACCTCTATGCTCACAGCAATTGGTATAACTTCTTTGCTCTTCCCAATCCACTTCCAGCTACTTTCTTCCTCCATCCACTCACCAAAATATTCAACATCTAAAACAACTCGTCCCATGTCTAATAATAGCCAACTACCTATAATGCAAGAAAAAAAATATTCTTAACTGATGTACTAAGGGTTGAAATATTTTAAAAAGCATCTGCACAGTCGCTTGACAGATCTAGTGTATCGCTTAAGCAATCTAGTATATCGTTTACTGGATCGCTTAAGCGATCTAGTAAATATTTTAAAAAGCATCTGCACAGTCGCTTGACAGATCTAGTATATCGCTTAAGTGATCTGGTATATCGTTTACTGGATCCCTTAAGCGATAGAATAAATAAGCATGATCGCTTAAATGATCCTATGCCATTTACTGATCGCTTAAGCGATCTGCTACTATACACCAGACTTTTAGTAGATTGCTTAAACGATCTTATGCCACATACCTGATCGCTTAAGCGATCTATCTACTACATTACTAGACGTACCAGATCGCTTAAACGATACACCAGATCACTTAAGTGATCTATTTGCTGCATTACCAGACGTACCAGATCGCTTAAGCAATCCATCATATCCAGAACACATTTTCAGTCATCTCCACCTACAATCGGTGCTACCACCCCCAGCTAACCACAATACAAGAAAATTTTCAACAAATTTCACTCCTTTCAACTTCCATTACATCAAACACAACCCAACAACCTAAACAACTAAATCAAAATCATAACCCAAACCTAATCCATCATTAAATCTTTGTAAACTGAAATATAAAATCGAAAGGGGAGATACACATACCTGGACGAAATGTCAGGAGGAGGAGGAGGATCTGTGTTGGAGAAGATGTTAATGGCGGAGGAATGCGTTAATGTGGCGGGAGGAAGAAGAAGAAGGTGTTTGGGTTTGTTTGCAACAATTTCGACTCTTTGGGGACATATTATAATTTTTAAAAGATTACACAATTATTCATTAATCCTAATTAACCCCTAATCATGTTAAATTAAGCTTAATAAAAAAACAAGGCCATTTAGTTAACATTTACAAACTATATAGCCTTTTAATCAAATTTTAACTTAAAATGGTCTTTTAATAAAATCCCCCTTCTTTTGTTGTTTATAATGTTTGACAAATGTTTAATTCCATTGTAGTTGTTTTTTGAATGCATGGCAAATGATTAATAATTCCAGGATGGTTTTTTAAGTATGTATTTTACCTAACTCAACAATAATACAGTGAGGAAAGGCAGGTGTTCCAAGTTTCAACTATGATGTTCGGTTTTATTCTTGGTGTATTTATAAATTATGCATTTAATTTTTTACATTACAGTATAAATGCAATGAATAAATTAATCTATCCCTTAAATTTTAAAGATTGAATTATAATTTGGTAGTAGTTTAATTGATGAGAAATTGAGTTGTCGTGAACTTTTGTGGTGAATTGAATTCAATTTGGAGAAGTTGATTGTGGAGATAATTGTAAAAAATGAAAACTGTGGAAATTTTGGGGGTATAATTGTCAAAATTGAAAATAGTTTGTATTAGTGGTGTGGAAATCCGGTTAACCGAACTGGATTGTCCATTTTACTAACCGAACTGATTTTCCGGTTCAAGGGAAATTGCAAACTGAAACCTGTCTGGATTCTCCCTTAAATTGGTTACTAATCGAACCGAATTTTCGGTTTGATTAAGGGTTAACCGATTTATAAACCAGTTTTCCTCTTCAACACTTCAATAATTTCTCTCATTTCCTCTTCAAGATCTTTACTCCATCCATTTTTCTCCATATTCATGTTGCTTTGCTCTCTTTTATATACTTTGTTGTTTGTCGAGGAGTGATTTGAAAGCCACCAAACAGCAGGCTTAAATGTTTTAGGGAACTTCTCTATCATTTTACCTAGCAAGGGAAGTGGGTACGCTTGGTCAAGCGCCAAAACTTTCTCCATTGCTTCTTTCACATCGTCTTCACTGGGAGCCCTTAGAGCAAGGAAAGTGTGTATTTGTCTATGGAGCTGCTTGAATAATCTTGTTGTGTTACATTGCTCTTTTGCAAGTCGTGAAGGCTGGATCTTGTTCACGATAACCATCATCCCCGCGGTTGCAGAGAACAAGAGAGTTGATGATAGCTTTAAAGCCAAAAGTGATGAAACGCCTGCGCCACTAGTTGCAGCAATACCATCCATAGGGGCAGTAGTGAGAGAAATAATGTTGATAGAGACACAGTAGAGGGTGACGGAGACAATGGAGAAGAGACACAGCAGAATGGAGAAGAGAAGGTGAGAGTGACGGCGAATATGTAGTTGGGTCTGTAGTTTTTTTTAGGTATTTAGTTTTAGTCTTTTAGCTGTAGGTTTAAACTTTTTAGACTTTTAGTTTTAGGGTATATTATAATATTTTTTTTTAAGGATAATTGGGTAAAAAAGCCGGTTTCGATTAACCGGTGTGGAAAAATGCCTAAACAGGTAACCGAACCGGATAAGCGGTTTGGCCATTTTTCCAAACCAAAACCAAAACCGAAACCGATTTTCTTGTTAACTAGTTTCGGTCCGATTTTGTGGTTAGGTTTGGTTTTTGGTCCTTTTTTTGCAGCCCTAGTTAACAATATGGGTGCCCACGGGTCCACCCGTACCTGTATAGGGTAGGGTCTAGTTCACCATTTTGGACCTGTTTGGATCCGTACTCTTGGGACTTGTACCCGTTGGGCTCAACACATACTCGGCCCACATGCTTGTTTTGCCAAAGTCTAACTACACCCTTGTAGTTCTGGAAAATAACTGTGGAAACAATGCCCATTTAAATTACTTACCCCATTTGTGTTCAAAAGATATTCAAAAGCCTCCCAAAATCTTAACGCCGTCTAATTTGAAACTAATGGCAAACACTAAATTGTTTGAAAGACTATTTTGCCCCTTCTTGTCTTTAACTGATACCAAAGTTTAAAGAAATTTCCTAAAAATCCCTTTAGATTTTCCCTAAATACATTTAAACCCTCTCGTTAATATAATTTAACAGTTGACTCCCTCCCCTCCCGACATTCCACCCCAACCACGGTGGCGCACAGGCGCAGTCTCATCATTCACTACCGGCCCACCACTCCTTTTCTATTGTCTCTCTTGTTAATATAATTAACTCCTGCAACTTCTTTAATAGATGTTGCATTTTTTTTTTAAAAGCGGATCTTATTAAATAGCGTCAATAAATAAATACTAATACAATTTAATACCAAATGATAAAAATTCAGTGAAGTTTTCTCTTATTTAAAACTATTTTTTTATTTTTTATTATTTAGTGTTTCCTTGAATCATGTAACAACTAACAGATGATACAGTGCATGTATCATCTCTTATATAAAAAATTCTCTAACAATAGAAGATGTTTTTAGAACTACACTTAATGTTATGGACCATATTAGCTTAATAATTACTTTACAAGAAATCTCACAAATTATATACTAAAGCATATATAGTTTTCATGCTCTTACTATTAGTTATCTAAGTTAATCTCTATATGACCTCTCATTTGTTGAGCAGTTAAAATGACCGATATATGAACTTACATAATCTATCATTTTACTCTCTTAATTAAGATTATCAAAAAACGAAGTAGGCATAACATTTCTTTGAGTTAGGATCACCGGCCCCCATTCACTACTATATATATATATATATTATGATATATCGTCAAGGGAAGAAGAAGAGAGAATATTAAAGCAGCTTTGACTAGCCACATGCAATATTGCACATACCCAAGTTCATGAATACAAGCATATTGTTTGCTAGCAAAAGCATGCATGCAAGACACTTCACACATACAGAAAATAAATCTCATTTAGTAGAAGAAACATGCAAGACACTCCGCACATAAATGAAAATTCATCTTATTCAGTAGCAGAAGCCAGACTCCATATTCGAGACATCCATTGATCCAAGCATGCTGCAAATTAACTTGCATGCATGCATGCCTTTTATTTGTTGCATCGGACGATTCTCATCAGTTGCATTGCAGCTGAGGAGAGCTTTGTGTGTTTGCCTGCTGGGTAAGGTGAGCATCAACGTCTTTGCAGGTATCAACAAGCACGTGAAGCATCGCTTTTGGATCCTCAACATTCGCGTTCAGCTTCTCGTATTCGAGAGTCCAGTGCAGCACGCAGCCCTCGTCCCTTGGAGTAACTTCAATACAAATCTTGACGCTCTTGAGCATTTGCAAGCCAGTTCCTTCAATTGTTTTGTACGTGGCTGACTTGTTCTTGTCATCTATTGCCACTTTCTCCATATTAAATGCAGTGTTTCCGTCTGCGGTCTGCGTATGTTATCACACAAGTGAGAAGAAGTAATACTTATCAAACACATTATTTTAATATATATATATATATATATATTAAAATTCCGGTACAGATGAGTTGTGAAGTTTTTAATATACAAACTTGCTCGATATATAGTCGTAAAACAACTGACGACTGCAAGCATTTTTATATATTTACACGTTAAAATTTTCAAAACGTCCGCATAATAGATGCTGACTTACCGAGGAGAAAGTTCCAGTTGTAAACGCAGCCATCTTTGCCCCATTGACCTTCAAGTAAATCAACACTCTGAACATATTTAGGGCTTGTTTTGGTCATGTGGTAAGGGGTCAAGGTAAAGAACTCAAAAACCTTGTCAGCAGGAGCCTTGAACTCAACATCAGCCTTCATCTGTCCAGAGAGAGCCATTTTGTTTACTTGTTTTGATTTGTATTCACATAGGAGAGGCAATTGATGATGGTTGACATCAACCCTCTACGGCACTCGGCTTACATAGAAGGAAGTGTGAGTTGGTGGCTATTTTTCAGTTGAATTTGTTCATGCACTACAACCATTCAGATCCTGCCACGTCGAAAGAAGAAGGGTCTTCAGCTAAAAGTTATTCTCAAGGAAAAATATACAAATTAAAAATGGTTCTAGAAAAGGCAAGGGGGGAACATCATAACTATAAAGATAAATTATCAAGAAGGAAAAAATAAGATTCTAGTCAAAGTACTTTGAACGGAAGAAATCATGAAATTTTCCGTCAATTTTCTTTTTGGATAAGCTATATTTGTGCTTATTGTTTGAAGATATTTATTCTATTTTTGATTTACAAGTAATGATAACATGCAACAACTAGTGAAAAATTTGACCGTCAATGGTTTATAGTGTTATAAATCTATCATTTATTGTTATGAGTTCGGAAGTAATTTAATGTTTTTAAACTAAGTCGAAAGATAATGAAAAGTATTGATTAAAAATCCCACAACAACCATTTAAAAATATTTTCGCAACTTTTTTGATTCCATAAAAATTCAATATTTATATAGGAGAACAATATTCTCAGACCACTTGATGAAAATGGATCCTTTAATATGGTCCTCAAGGACCACAACCATGGAGTAATGCCAATAAGAAATCAGGATTGTCGTGCCATATAATATTTTTCAATTTATTTATTTTTTTAATTTAAGTCTCAACATTATGCTTCAAAATCATTTTATGGAAATTCAATGCATAAACCCTTAAATATTATAAATGATATTATAACTTTTAAGTTTATATTATGATGAAAAATTTTAGCAATAAGGAAATATATGTGTTAAAAGTTTGGATAGCATGCTCTACGAAGGAAATTTGTTCAAAATTAGTTCTATTTTTTTTTTTTTAATGGAAAATATTTTAAAGCAAGAAATAATTATCTATAGATAGATGCTGTCTTCCATAATTATATTCGTTTTTCCATTCATTCAATAAAAATATTAATTTAATTCATTCAATTAAAATATTAATTTAAATCAATTGCAGATAAGCATATTTACTTTTTTTCAAGCAAGCGAAGGGACTGTGGGAATATTGATAAAGCAATTGAATCTATGGATGATAAGAATTTCGTGGCACATTATTCAAAATCTTATTCCTAAAATTTTAAAATTTTCAAGAAAATATAAATATAAATAAATAAATAAATAAATAAATAAATAAATAAATAAATATATATATATATATATATATTCAATTGAGTATTTGATGATAATTAATTTTGTATTTCAATAATTAAATTCTTATTCATAAAATGTTGAAGGGCAAAATGGAATGCAAATAATATGTTTCCTTAATTGTAAAACAATATTATGTTTCCTTATTATAGGAGATTTTAGATATTATTATAATATTATGTTTCCTTATTATATAGCTTAATTTTTGTATAAAAAGACAATATTGATTCAATTACAATCAATTCAATAATAATTGAATTCACTAAATTATCTCTTTGAGTCTCATTTGTTCATAATTCCGACATGGTATCAAAGCTTCCATGTTGAATCAGCTTCCGCTCAACTAGCCTCTCTTTTCTGTCCCTGCAATTAAAATGGATACTCGGTTAGTACAATACTCAGCTAGCCTCTCTTTTTGTCCTTGCAATTCAAACAGATACTCGGTTAGATTTTCCAATGGCAAGCAACCAAAGCTCAAACTTTGACATAATCACCAACATTTGCATCTTTTATGCAAGTTTGTAATTTATGCCCACAAGCTTGAGGGGGAGTGTTGAAGTGAAAAATGGAATGCAAATAATATGTTTCCTTAATTGTGAAACAATATTATGTTTCCTTATTCTAGGAGATTTTAGATATTATTACAATATTATGTTTCCTTATTATATAGCTTAATTTTTGTATAAACAGGAAATATTGATTCAATTATAATCAATTCAATAATAATTGAATTCACTAAATTATCTCCTCGAGTCTCATTTGTTCATAATTTTGACATAAAATTTTAAAATTAAAAGCAATTTAATCATGAGTGTAAAGTATTAATTTTTGTCAAACTTATGAGTTATGTGTGTGCACAACAATTATGTGTGCACACTGGCTGCCAATCCTTTTATTTGGCTTGTTTCATATGTTGTGTGTGTGCACATTAGTTCTTAGTGCACACTGTTTGCCAGACGTGTGCCTTGGCTTGTTTCGTTTCGAGTGTGTGTGCACAACGGTCTATGCTTACACTCTCGCTTTAGATATTTTGCAACCCAACACGAGTTGCATGTCTGATAAAGTGAAAAAGATATTATTTATCTTTGTCTCTTGATATTTAGGACCTTTTACATGTGTCATAATATCTTTAATTGGTCTTAGGGAATAAAGTTATCTTTCCCGATTTGTTTTGTGGTCCAAACCAAAAGAAGGAATACTTTCCTTGTTTGGACAAACATGGGTCAACCCTTTGTTGGCTGATGTGGCACTATATTGTTGAGCAAGAAATCCTTCATTATATAATACTTTTTCTTGCGTAAATGAATCTAACCTTTCGACAATTTGTTTCATTGTACTATAAATTTCTTAGAGTATTCTATCTCTTAAGGTTCAATGTTCATTTCTCTTTTGTGCCAAAACCTCACCGTATCAAAAATAGACTTGATGACTTTTGGAATGTGTTTCCTTTGCTAATGCTGGTGCGTGGCGTTGGTGCTTGAAGCTTGGTGGTTTACAAGTTATTCTTGGGTGTGTTCTCGGAGAAAAGAAGCTCCAAGGAGTTGCTACACGTTAACGATTTAGAGTATGGTGCTAAGTGTAAAGTTGAACTGGGAGTTCTTTTTACTGTAACTTAGATCAGCTTTGAACTATATCGTGTAATGTGTTTTGACTTAGTGGATTGCTTCGATATGGACAAGGTCCCATGGATGTAGGCTAAATGTGGTTTGTGTTGTGCTTTTACTTCAGATCTGCTGTTTGTCTGTGTGTACACTTCCATTTGTGCTTTAGCATCTGTCTAATTGTTTTTCGTCATGAGTTTCTTCACTAAAGGTGGATCTGCTCATAGACCTCCTTTGTTAGATGACCTTAACTACTATAAATGGAGACCTAGGATGCATGCTTTTCTAAAATCTATAGATGAAAGAGTCTGGTCCACGGTTGTGAATGATTGGACAGCCCCAGTTATTGTTGAAAATGAAGTGTTTAGACCAAAACCTATTGCTAGTTGGACTGTTGATGAAATAACTCTCGCTAATTATAACTCTAAAGCCTTTCATGCTCTTGTTAATGCTGTTAATGTGAACCAAATGAAAGTCATAGCTAATTTTGAGCTTGCTAAAGATGCTTAGGATAGGCTTCAAGTCAAGAATGAGGGAACTAGTGCCGTTAAAAGAAATAGGCTTAGAAGACTTGTCACTGATTTTGAAAATTTGAACATGGAAGAGGATGAGACTATAACTGATTTTTATGGTAGAGTTTGTGATATTTCTAATGAATGTTTTGCTTTGGGAAGAACATATTCTAATGCTAAACTTGTCAGGAAAGTGCTTTGCTCTTTGCCTCAGAGATTTATGTCTAAGGTCACCACTATTGAAGAATGCTAAGATTTGGACACTATGGACATTGATGAACTCATTGGCTCTCTCCAAACCTATGAACTGAATCTGCAATGACAGGAAAAACAAAAACCGAGCAAAGATTTGGCTCTCAAACATGAGGTTGATTCGAATCCTTTTGATGACTGTGATCTAAGTTTATTGGATGATGACAATTGTGCTTTATTTATAAAGAATTTTGCAAAGTTTTTAAAGAAAAACATGAAAAAGCCTCATACTAGTAGTTATGGTCGAAAACCTTTTGTGAAAAAGCCTTATGACCATCAAAACCCTGGCACCTTTACAAAGAAATTTTCAAAAGATAAAGGAAAGAAAAATAAAGGTATCAAGTGTTTTGAATGCGAGGGCTTCAGGCACATACAATCTGAGTGTGCTAACACATTGAAAAAGAAGAAAGGTAAAGCCATGGTTGCCACTTTTAGTGAGAATGAGCATGATGAGAGTGATGATGATGATTTCGGTGATTATGAAATGTTTCAGCCTTCATTGTGAATCAAGAAGATGGTAAGAGTGAAGTTTCGGATGACACTGAAGATATTTATGCTGAGCAACAAGAAGCATATGATAAGATGTATGACCAACGGCTTAAGACTGTGAAATAGTTACAATCTCTTGGTATTGAGAATGCTTCCTTGTTGAAACAAAAGAAAGCATTGTCCGAAAAGATTGTCATTCTTACTGCTGAACTAACTAAGGCTAAGGCCATCATTGATAATTTGAATGCAGGTTCTCTTGAGCTTGATGAAGTGCTTGGTCAAGGAAAATCCTTCGGAGATTGGTATGGTTTGGGCTTCAGTGCTGGTGCTAGCACATTGAAAGCTAGTGCTAACATATTTGTGAAAGCCATCGGAACTCCTACTGAAAGAACTGTTGTGAGACAGTTTACAAAGGTATCAAAATTCATTCCTATTTATCATTTTTGTAACAGGAAAGGTCACATCAGACCCAATGCTTCAGATTTATTGCTTATTTGAAGAAAGTTTTTAAAAACCATAGTTTTGTTGCTAATATAAATCATAATACTAACAATGGTTTTTCTTCCAAAAGAGTTTGGAAACCAAAGGTTGATGTGAATTGTTTTGTGTCTCATACTTCTTTGCTTGCATTTCAAAATGATCTTTGGTATCTAGACAGTGGTTGTTCAAGGCATATGACAGGTAATAAATCTCTTTGACTGAACTTGAATCGGTTGATAGTGGACATGTCACTTATGGAGATGAGAAGAAAGGTAAAATTCTTGGCAAATGATCAATTGTGCTTCCTAATTTTTCAGTTTTGAAAGATGTCTTACTTGTTGATGGTTTGAAAGCTAATTTGATTAGTATTAGTC